GATCGGAGGCACAGAGGAATACAAGATCTGCAAGGGCATTAAAGAAGGCCGGATCACCAAGCCAGTGGTGTGCTGGTGCATTGGTACCTGTGCCACCATGTTCTCCTCAGAGGTATGTGCAAAAAAAGGGGGAAAACACATAGAATAAGGATAAATCAACAAGAGGAGGAAAATCCCAAGTCTCTCACTGTGCCTAAACCTTTCAGAACTGTCAGTGGCAACTCCTCATGTGCAGAAGTTCACAAATATAAGTGATAAAAGGTTTTTGTGCTTCTGTGTCACGGGAGATTTCCAGGGGATTCTACTTGTGAAGGGAGCCCAAAGATCCCAGGGAATACAACAAATTCCAACAGCCACCTTTCTGGAGTGGGAATGGGAGCCTGTAGTCCTTACTGTTCTCCCTTCTCCTGTTTGTAGGTGCAGTTTGGCCATGCAGGAGCTTGTGCCAACCAGGCCTCCGAAACTGCTGTGGCAAAGAACAAGGCCTTGAAGGAAGCTGGGGTGTTTGTCCCCCGGAGTTTCGATGAGCTGGGAGAGGTCATTCAGTAAGTCACACTCTCAGAGCACCTTCAGCAGAGATTAAAGCAGTCAGGGCAGTGATTCTGGCCTGTTAGGGAATATATTCCTGCTTAAGGAAAGCAGTGTGGGGTTTTAAGGTCTGGGTTAGGACCCACCTCACTTGGATCCCTTGAAAGGACCGAATGGATTCTCTCCCTAGGTCTGTGTACCAGGATCTTGTGGCCAGAAAAGTGATCGAACCAGCTGAGGAAGTGCCTCCTCCAACTGTGCCAATGGATTACTCCTGGGCAAGGGTGAGCTTTTGGGTTCCTTGGAACCAGACAAGGCATCTGCTGGGATTCTGGGTGCCATGCTGGGGTTACACCCTTGTGCTTTAATAGTGTTACTTGTGAGCTCCCTGGCCGTGCTGGTTCTGAGCTGTGGAGGCTGCTGGGAGGGCAAGCCTGAGACGCTGCTTTGCCTGCTCTGCTGGGCACTGCCCTTGCTGCCGGTGTGGGTGTTTAACATCCCATCTCCACGCTGCAATTCCAGGAGCTGGGACTGATTCGCAAGCCAGCGTCCTTCATGACCAGCATCTGTGACGAGCGAGGGCAGGAGCTGATCTATGCTGGGATGCCCATCACCGAGGTCTTCAAAGAGGAGATGGGAATCGGAGGGGTTCTGGGCCTGCTCTGGTTTCAGAGGAGGTGAGGCAGCTCTTGTGAAAAATCACACATTCTCCGGTTTGGAGTTTTCCTTGTTTATTAATAGACTTGTAAGCAAAAAAGTAACTCCAGGATGCCTCTGTGGAGGCAGATTCAATGGAATGCCATCTCTGTAATCCCTCCTTGCAACCATGTCAGCATTTCAGGCTACATACACTATATTTTAGCCTAGGGATTGAGTTTTCCACAAGTTTTGTGGTGCATTGAGGAAATTTCTATGTTCTAGGTCTGATTCACCCTCTCTGACTCCTTGTTTATTGTGTCACCTCAGCTCTGGAGAGACTGGGGACTTGACAAGCGTTTTCACTTGTGTTCTATCCCCTGACTGACCCGGTGTCTGTACCCAGGTTGCCCAGGTACGCCTGCCAGTTCATCGAGATGTGCCTGATGGTGACAGCAGACCACGGGCCAGCCGTGTCTGGGGCTCACAACACCATTGTCTGCGCCAGGGCTGGCAAAGATCTCGTCTCCAGCCTCACTTCAGGCCTCCTCACTATTGTGAGTACCCAAGATCCAGGAGGTTTAGCTTCTAGTGGTGTCTATTCACTCACACCTTGAATTTCAACTCTAATAGTCCAGTGCTCCCTGTTTCAAACTGTGCCCATTTTTCCAGTAAGCCAGACTAGTTTGTCTCATTTGAGTCTAGAAGTATTTTGTAGCAGCCAAATGGCTGTCAGTGTTGTCCCTGTTTAGTTGCCTTGTTTCTTCCAAGACTGACAAGTAAAAATGTGACTGAAACAGACCTTTGGATTGCATTTTCCCCCACATCTGTCAGCAGAGATGTGTTGACTGCATATTGGCACTTGTGTGAGTTAAAACCAGATGCTGTGCCTGCCCAACTTAAATGTCATGGGTGCCACAGAGACCAGGGTGGATGGGGGAGATAATCTTGTGTGTGTTTTGTACCTGAACTGTGGAGTCCTTTGCCGCAATTCCCTTTGTGTCCTGCACCCAGGGTGACCGGTTTGGGGGAGCACTGGATGCTGCAGCCAAAATGTTCAGCAAAGCCTTTGACAGCGGGATTATCCCCATGGAGTTTGTGAATAAGATGAAGAAGGAAGGGAAGCTGATCATGGGCATTGGACACCGAGTCAAATCGGTAAGAAAACTGTCTTAGGGACAAACAGGAGGGATTTTTATGGAAGGTGGGGGAGAGCAAAAACAAAGGAAAGCAAATTGGCAAGTTTGAGGCACCTGTTGACCGAGTTGTCCCCAGCCTACAATGAGTAAAGCTGACATCAGGTACCTGTGTAAGAGGCAATGTCAGTGACTGTAACGTGCTCTGAACCTGCAGATAAACAACCCTGACATGAGAGTTCAGATTCTCAAGGACTACGTGAAGCAGCACTTCCCGGCCACTCCACTGCTGGACTACGCGCTTGAAGTAGAAAAAATCACAACTTCCAAGGTGAAAGGCGCCAGCACTGAACTGCTCTGAGGACTGGTTCTCTGGGGAGGGAAAGTGACTTGAGGTTCACGGTGTATTTTAAGTGCAGTGCTTCAGAAATTGTTCCTGGGGGTTGTGTTTCTGTGGTGGAGTTGAGGCCATGTGCAGCTGCAGTTGGGAACTGCTGAACAAGCCAGACCATCATCTCTGTGGCCACAGTCCACACTGGCCCTGCTTGGATGTAAATCCAAGGCCAGTGGCACACGTGTTGGGCTGTGGCAGAGAATCTCTGTGGCTTGATCCTTCTTTGAGGCTGGTTTTCCAGCATTCCCATTAAGAGCCTGTGGCTCTTGCTCAGGCTGCTGAGCTGCCTCTCTGTTGCTGGGCTGGTGTGTCCCCAGTTACAGGAAACACTGAAGCCATCCTTGGGGTGGAAGGTGCCAGGTGAACTCCATTTGCACTGTTAACATCTTCATTGGGGTGTTCTCATTTCCTGCAGAAACCAAACCTTATCCTGAACGTAGATGGCTTTATTGGAGTGGCCTTTGTTGATGTACTCAGGAATTGTGGCTCTTTCACACGGTGAGTAGGGAGGGGGCTGTTCTTGGATCGTGGTCCTATAAAGGGATGGGAGCTGCACTGCCAGCTCCTGGGGGGGGCAGGATTTCAGGACACTGAGAAGGAAACATAGCCTAGCCTTGGGGGCAGAAAGCTGTCACATGAATTCATGTGGTTCTGGCACCAGAGCAGGTTCTCAGCCTGTCTGACATGGATTCCTTAAATAGATCACTACCAAGAACTGTTTAATTTCCTTCCTTTTGCAGAGAAGAAGCAGATGAATATATTGACATAGGAGCTCTCAATGGCATCTTTGTACTGGGCAGGAGTATGGGATTCATTGGTGAGTTTGCCCCTCCCTGCCCCTTCCCATCTCCCAGGGCTGCCCCTTCCCAGGAACACCAGACAAACCTGAACCTCTGTGGGGACTCGGTGTACTCCAGAACTCCAAGCTGTTTCAAGGCAAAGAGGAGGAGGAGGGATGGGAATTCTGTAACATAAACCATTGTCATTTTCAGGACACTACCTGGACCAGAAGAGATTGAAGCAGGGTCTGTACCGTCACCCATGGGATGACATATCCTATGTCCTACCGGAGCACATGACCATGTGAGAAGCTGGTGTTTTCCTGGAATGTCACTGCACGAGGACAGAAGCCTGGCCAGGGGACAGCCACGGTGGGACTATGGACGTACAAAGCCCGCTGGGACAGAGATGTTGAGCTGCCTGGTCAAACTGTGCAAAGCGACTGTTTTATAAGAATAGAAACTTACTCTAATAAAACCAAAACTTGTGCTATTCCCTCTGTTACCTGCTGTATTTAATACTGTCTCTCACCATTTTAGTTTTTCTCTTCTCACGTTTCATTTTGTTTCCAGAAGAGATTAAGGGTTTTGGGGGAGAGTTTGGCTCATGGGCACAGTCTTACTGGACATTACTCTGGTAACAAGCTGTACCTTTCCTGTGAAGGGGAATGTGCCCATCATTCCTATAAGCCAGGACTTGGGCTTTTTTTTTTTTTTTTTTTTTACTGTGTTCTCATCCTTGGTCTGATTGTGAATCTTGGGACCACTGCTGATGTATAACCAATGTTACTCAAGCTCTGGTGTAGTAATTTAAACTGTAAAGTTGTAACATACTGCTGTGAAAACTGTGAAATCCCTGTACTCCAGTGTCTGTATTTATGCAAACAAACTTCTTTCCTCTGACTGTTGCTCTGTGGCACTGTCACTCATGTTACCTGCAGCTGCAAAAAAAAAATATCTCAGTTAATAACTTCAGCGTCCTCCTTGTCTGTGTATTGTAACCGAACTCAAATAAATACATGCTCCTAATTTATTCCTTTTCCATTTGTGGCTTCTGAAAGTTCATCCTAAACACTATCTGAGGGGTGTGACAAGCTGGGAATCAGTCACTTAATAAAACACCACTCATCAAAGTGGTTACTCCTTAAGAGTCTGTGTTTCAGGTGATTTAAAAGGGGAAAAAAAAAAAAACAAACTCAAAATGCATACACCTACCCTTGCATGTTTCAGTGTAGGTCAAAAAGATGAAGTTTAGCAAAGTAAAAAAGAAACAGAAGGAAAGAGACTAGTTATAATTGGTACAGCATTATACGTGAGTTAGGGAACTGCACTGTGTGAAAAGGAAGCATGAAATAATCAACTGCAGCTCACTTCATTCTAATTAACAGCTTAGTTGGATTCTGAAATCCTTATTCCTCAGCTGAAGCCTCTTCCCCGCAGCCTGCCTGGGAGAGCAAGAGTAAGGAGGCAAAAATGATCCGATGTGGCCTGATGTGGAACCAGGTGCATGTCTGATCCGGGTAGGGGATGCACCGGGGAGCTCCCAGGGCGGAGAAGCACCGGGGGCGAGCTGGAGGGCACGGCGGGCTCGGGGCGGGGGTCCCTGAGGGTCCCTGAGGGTTCCTGGGGGTCCCTGAGGGTCCCTGAGGGTTCCTGGGGGTCCCTGGCGGTCCCGTCGCCCTCACGGCGCCGCCGCCATTTCCCTGCAGCGGCGCCCCCTCCCCGCCAGGGGGCAGCGCCGCGCCCGCCTGCCCGGTCGGACAAGATGGCGGCGGCCCCGCAGCCGCATCCCGGCCCCGGGCCGGGCCCGCCGGCGGCCGAGGCGGAGCGCGGGGGCCCGCGCGGCGGCGGGGCGGACGGGGAGGCCGAGGCGGAGGAGTTCGGGTGCCCGGCGCACTGCTCCGACCTGGCGTGGCGGCAGAACGAGCAGCGCCGCCAGGGCCTGTACTGCGACATCACGCTGGCGTTCGGCGGCGCGGGCGCGGCCCGCGAGTACCGGGCGCACCGGTCCGTCCTGGCCGCCGCCACCGAGTACTTCACGCCGCTGCTCTCGGGGGGCTTCGCGGAGTCGCGCTCGGGCCGCGTGGAGCTGCAGAAGTGGAGCTCGGAGGGCGGCCCCGACCCCGAGACGGTGGAGGCCGTTGTCGGTTTCATGTACACGGGCACCATCCGCGTGAGCCCCGGCAACGTCCACGAGGTGCTGGAGATGGCGGACAGGTGAGGGGGCCGGGGCTGGAGTGGGGGAGCGGCGGGTGAGGGGGTCGGGACCGGGTGTGCCGAGTCCCAGCATCAGTGGGTCACAGACCGGTTTGGATTGGAAAGGACCTTAAAGCCCATCCAGTCCCCGCTCCCAGGGACACCTCCCACTAGACCAGGTTGCTCCAAGCGCTGTCCAGCCTGGTCTTGAACACTCAACACTTGCAGGGATGTTCCTGTTCGTTTGTCCTGCAGGTTTCTGCTGACACGGTTAAAGGACTTCTGTGGAGAGTTTCTGAAGAAGAAACTGAACCTCTCTAATTGCGTGGCAGTTCACAGCTTGGCGCACATGTATTCCCTGAACCAGCTGGCCCTCAAAGCGCAGGATATGATCAGGAGAAACTTCCACAAAGTCATCCAGGATGAGGAGTTCTACACTCTGCCGTTTCACCTCGTCCGGGACTGGTTCTCGGACTCAGAGATCACGGTGGACTCTGAAGAGATCCTCTTTGAGACTGTTTTAAAGTGGGTTCAGAAAAATCCCGAGGAAAGAGAGAGGTACTTTGAAGATCTCTTTAAGCTGCTGAGGTTGTCTCAGATGAAACCCACGTACCTGACTCGCCACGTCAAATCCGAGCGGCTGGTGTCGAGCAACGAGGCCTGCGTGAAGTTGGTGTCCGAGGCCGTGGAGAGCCATGCCCTGCGCTCCGAGAACCTGCAGTCCGGGAACCTGCAGCATTCCGCCTGTCCCGCCGCGCTGCTGCCGCGCTTCGGCCAGAACATGGACGTCATCATCGTCATCGGCGGCGTGTCCGAGGGCGGCGACTACCTGAGCGAGTGCGTGGGCTACTTCATCGACGAGGACAGGTGGGTCAACCTGCCGCACATCCACAACCACCTGGACGGGCACGCCGTGGCCGTGACGGAGTCCTACGTGTACGTGGCTGGCTCCATGGAGCCGGGGTTTGCCAAGACTGTGGAGAGGTACAATCCCAACAGGAACATCTGGGAGCAGGTCTCGAATCTGATCACCAGGAAGCATTCCTTTGGCCTGACCGAGGTGAAGGGCAACTTGTACAGTATCGGCGGGCACGGCAACTTCAGTCCAGGCTTTAAAGATGTGGCCGTTTATAATCCCGAGCAGGACAAGTGGCAGAACCTGGAGTCGGCCCCAAAGATCCTGCGGGATGTCAAAGCTGTCTCCGTGGAGGACCGGTTTGTGTACGTGGCCGCCCGCACCCCGGTCGACAGCGACAGCGAGGACGGGCTGAGGGCCGTTATTACCAGATATGACACTGAAACCAGGCAGTGGCAGGACGTGGAGTCCCTGCCCCTCATCGACAACTACTGCTCCTTCCAGATGTCCGTCGCCAACACCAACTTCTACCACACGGCCTCGTGCTGCCCCAAGAGTTACCCCATCGACAACGAGGAGGCCAAGGGAAAGATCTCTGGCAGGGCCTCGGATGAAATCCTGGAATCCTTGCCCCCCGAGGTCCTGAGCATTGAAGGAGCGGCCATTTGTTACTACAAGGACGACGTGTTCATCATCGGGGGGTGGAAGAACAGCGACGACATCGACAAGCAGTACAGGAAGGAGGCCTATCGCTACTGCGCCGAGCGCAAGCGCTGGATGCTCCTGCCCCCGATGCCGCAGCCCCGCTGCAGAGCCACCGCCTGCCACGTGAGGATCCCCTTCAGGTGCCTGCAGGGAACACAGAGGTACCCCATGCCACAGAACCTGATGTGGCAAAAGGATAGGATAAGGCAGATGCAGGAAAGGCAGATGCAGGAGATACACCGACACCTGACCTTGCGGAGAATGCCGCGCTCCCAGATCGAGTGCTAGTGTCTGCAACACCACTCCTGATGATGGGCCTAGGAAGTAAACCCTTTTGTTAGGCTTGGTATGTCTTTATAAGACATGAGGGCGTTGATTGGATTTGATGCATAAAACCAGCATCTTTTGTGTACTGAAAAGTCAGAAGCTCAGAAGTTGAGGGCGGGTGGGAATTGAGACGCTCTGTGAATCCAGCAGTATTCCTTAATGGTGCCCAGGGGAAAGCTGTAGCCTGTATCGGGCTGTGAAATGTCTCTGGGTGCATTAAGCCTGTTACTTCTCTCTTCAGATCTTTGGTTCCAAGGGTTTCTGTAGAGTTAGTCTCTAACAGTTCTACTTTGAAAATCAAAGATCTGTCTCTTAATAATTTAGTGGTTACATTTGTGTGTGCTTGAAAGCACCTATTTTATTTGCACTTATCTCCTGACATTCCTTTGATTCTCTCCTCAGTGACTAAATTTCACAGGATTGGTGTTGGTGTACTTGGCTTTCCCGAGCTGGAGGCAGGTGCAATAGTTCTGTATGAAACAAAAGCACAATCTTTCTTTATGAAATTACTTCAGGATGTTTCTATGTGTGTTAAATATTTTGTATCTGTGCGTTGTAGAGAGGCTGCCCGGTTTGTTTATAAGTGGATGATTGCTAGGACACAAGATGCTGAAAGAGAGAACTTGAGGCAGGGGATTTTATTTCAGGTGTATCTGCAGGTCTGAGTCTGTGTTTGACAGCTTTGTTAGAAACTCGGGTCAGCAGCCTGAGACAAGGAGTGACGAGTGTAGAACCACCCACCCACACTGACTGTTCACTTCTGTCAGGGTGGAGCAGTGAGAATGGGATTATTCCATGGGAACAGAGTGAAACCTGAGCTATGCATAGGTCCTTTCTCAAACGTTGCACATGTTTTAATTCTAGTGAAAAGTGATGGAAGAGCCCCTGCTGTTCCCAGCCTGTCTCTGACAATCAGAACCCTTTGCCTTCCACGTGCTATCCCAAGCAATTCCCAGCAGCCCTGCTGCAAGCTCCCTCCCCTGGCAGGGAGAGATGGGTTTTCAAAGTCTTCAAATACCTGAATTTCCCCACTTGCTTGGGGTGTGAGATTTAAGCTCGTGTAAACACCTTTTGGCATTCTGAGGTGATTTTACATCCAACTGCCCTGGTTGACTCTGGGTTTGTTCCCACTGTACTCCCAGGGAATAGAATGTGGAGTATTCCCTTTCATCTGTCCCACTGAGCACTCCTTCTGCCCAATCCGAGGAGCTCCAGGACCCTTTAGTTTACCAGCGGTTTCAGTGCATCCTTCCTACCTCCTTTTCTCTCCATCCTTCCCTTCTTTTGAATGTTCCAGGTTTTCCCAGCAGTGTAACTCAGGATCTTAGGGAAGGGAATGGGAGGAGTAATCTCAGTGTTCTGAAATCTGTGTAGGCAAACCCTGTTGGAGAATCTGTTACTGTTCCTGGTTCCTTGATGTTTGCTGGTGGTTTTGGTGTGGGCGTCTCCACTGCAAAGACCTTGTAACCATTCTGGGGTTTGTTTTGTTTTTAGTTGGTTTGCTTTCTGAGCTGCTCCTTCTCCTTTTCCAGTTCATCAGGCAGCCCAGATCGTATCTGAAACTTGGGGTAAGTCCTTCCACCACTCAGTGTGTAAAGGTTTCTCTCATGTGTATGTTCCTTAACACATCACTTTGCGGTTCACGGGCCACTTTGGTATCAATAACTTGCCTGTTCATGAGAGAGTCTTGCAGCCTTGGTTTAAAAAACCCACCAAACCTGAGAAACTGAACAGTTTGTCTCAGTTGACCCCTCTGTGGTAACTGTGTTGTATTTTCTTTTTCTGTTGGGTTGTTGGGGCAGGTGAAGTTTATGCTGCTGGCCTCATGCAAGAGGAAATAGGTGAGTTTAAGGTGGTGTTTGCAGGTGACTGTTCCCAAACAGCTCCTGCAGGCCTGTAAGGCAGGGGTTGATCTGTGGAATTCAGCCCACGGATTCTTGCAGGTCTGGAGTAGGTTCAGAATTGCTGCCCCTGCAGGAGGTTTGTGATAGGGTGTGCAAATGCCTCACAGCTCTAGTGCTCAATCCATCAATGTAACAGCAAGTTGTGGGAGCTGGTTTTAAGATAGTTTCCCAGACTTTGCACTAAAGCAACTGAGAGGAGTTCACATCCTCTACCCCGCCGACCTGGCTGGAGGGATTTAACAAGCAGCTGGAGGGTGGTAGTAGGTCACACCACCACAGCTCTATCCAAGCCCTCCCGTAGCCTGTCATGGAATACAGAGAATTTGTAGGGAGAAACACCGAGATGATTATTTCAGTCGGAATAGCAACTAAATATTTAATGCATGGCAGTGATGCAACAAAAGAGGCAAGGACAGACCTTGCAGTCTTGCTTTCTCTAAACAAAATTGATATTGCACTTTCCCAGGAGGACTTTGGGCTGGCAGACAAGCTGTGTTGTTTACTGAAAGCACTCCCCTCAGAGGCAGTGTCAGCCCAGCCCGTCCCTGGACAGGTAACCTGCGTGTGCCAGCCGCATGCCGCGTGTGCTCCGCGTGCATGGCACTGGGGTGCCCTGGCAGCAGCATGGGCTGCTCTAACCTTTGCTCTGCCAGTTCTGGGGTGGTTTTTAAGCATTGGTGCTTTTTTGGCCTTGACTTTCAGTGGACTGATGGCGTTGATGTGGTTTGTGGCTGACGGGCTGAACAATCCACTGCATCACACGAGGTGTTGGGAGGATTGCATTCACAGCTCGGGCTGTAATTTAGCCCATGAACCTGTGAATCCGTAACAATTCCTTGAGGCCCTTGACTGCCACAGCTTGCTGGGTGTTTATCAGATGATCCCATAAACAGAAGCCTGGGGGTTCTTTCTGTGTGTTTGTAGTGGCTGGTCAGCTGTCAGCAGGGTGGCAGCGTGTGTGAACGAGGAGGCTGACTGCTGGCCTCGCTATACTGGCGGTCACCAGAGTGACTCCCAGGGGCCATACGTGTACAGAATGTTTTATAACTACCTGGATACTCTGCTAGTAGCCTGGGGGTGTCCGTGTCTTGAGTGCCTCCCTTGCACATAGTAGAGGCCACTGCAGAGCTGAAGCAAACAGCTTACACGTGCTGTGAACAGATGTGCCGAGCATTCCACTCCACTACTGCAATGGCGTTTTATCCCATTACAGGAAATGTCAAAATCCAAACTCTTGGCTGAGGTCATGTGTTGTGGAATAGCCTGGTGGCTGCTGACAAACCAAGTCCTCGGGAATGACAACTTTTTAGGTTGTTCTTAACACAGCCTGGTAAGAGGATGTTGTAACGTCCCCAGCGGGTTTTGAAAAGCAAGCGTAAAGTAGGTGGTTTGTGGCTTGGGTTCATTTTCAGCTCTGTCCACCTTAGGTACAAACCTTCTCTGCTGTTTGACAGTCCTGGGTGGAGTCTGATAAAACAGGTGCTCCTGAGGATCTAACTCTGTTACTAATATGAATGTATAGTGTGGAACTAACAAGCTGTTTGAAGACCATTAATAAGCAGATCCTCCTCGTGGGTCTGTGTCACTGTGGGTCACGGCAGCTCTGCTCTCCTGGGACATTAACGGAGGGGCAACAGATTTCTGGGGAGCAGCACTCCTGTCCTTACCTGTGAGGTAAAGTAGTGTGTGTGATAGGCCCTTTGAAACAAATCCTGCTTGTCATGTTCTTGACCTTAAATACACTGTACTAAAGTTTATTGTAAGAGGTGAATTAATGAAAATAAACCTTTTATTTCTCTAGCATTCTGTTGTACTTCTGATTTTTTAAGTTGCTGTACAGGCTGTGGTCGATAACACATGTTTTGTGGTGCCATAGAGCGAAAGCTTTAAATCCTAATGATTCTTTTGGCCTGTAGCAGTTGTTTCTATTTTAGAACAAGAGAACATGCTCCCCTTCCCACACTGGAGATTTTTATTAGCTAAAAGAGAACTATTTACACAGGCATCCATTGGTGGGGATGCTCAGAAGACTTTATTAGCTAAGCAGGACTATTTACAGGAGCATCCAGTGATGGTTGATCACGAGACTTAGCTAAGGGGAACTATTTACAACGGCGAGCTCCGAGTCGAAGTGCTGAACAAGATGTCCATGGAGGTGTTGTGCCGGTAGTAGTGCTGCCTGGCGATGTATTCCATGACGTTGGAGAGCCCTGGCACCACGCAGCAGCTGACGGCGCTGCGGGTGATGCCCATGCTGTGGGCGTCGTACCACTCGTTGGTGTCCTCCTCGTAGCACTCGGCAGCCACGGTGGTGCTGAACCCGTTAAAGCCCCCGACCACGAACAGCAGCCCGTCCATTACCTCGATGCCGAAGTTGCTGCGTGGGTTTAGCATGGAGGGCACGGCGTGCCAGGCGTTGGCGACGGGGTTATACGCTTCCACGCTCTGGAGCCGGCTGTTCCCATCAAACCCTCCGACCTGCGAATGCCAAAGGGACAGAGCTGAGAGGGGCCTTCCCTCAGCCAGGTCCTGTCACGCACCAGTGAGATGGGAGCTGCTCGTGCCTCCCTGGCGGTGGTCTGAGCATGGCGGAGAGCACGGGATTTCAGAACACGGCACTTGCTTATTGCAGTCTGTTCCCTCGGGAGCTTCCCAGGGCACTTTGTGCAACTGTCAGATTTGACAGTTCTCCAGGGGTTGGATGCAGTCCATGGAGAAGATAAACAATGAAAGAACAGGCCCGAGCCCTGCTCTGTGCTGCTGATGCTGTTGGCAGTGGCAGAAAATAAGTTGTTTGCTGCAGCTGCTTAAACATTGCCCGCATCTTTTTCTTACCAAAAAGCGTGTGATGGGTGATAACGTTCTTGGCAAGTCCGTCACCTGTTCTGGCTCTGACTTCCCCAAACCTCACATAAACACATGGCCAGCCTGGTGTGGGAGCTGCAGCCTCGCAAAGGCCTGCACGGCTGGGTGGTGTTGGCCCTTACCGCGTACACCTGGTTCCCGTACGCCATCACCCCAACCCCGCTCCTCCTGCTGCTCATCGGGGCGATCAGGGACCACTGGTTTGTGGCAGGGTCGAACACTTCAGCTGAGCTCAGGCACTGATCGCCGTCAAACCCACCACAGATGTACACCTGGGGACAGGAGAGAGAGGAAAGTGTGAGGGGGACAGTTAGACCATTGGTGAGACAATCTGTTGGAGAGAAAATGAATGGTGTGGCTGGATTTTTGGGGTGTCTTTGTTTTAGGAGGGAAATGAGAACGTCATCCTGGCTTTGGAGTAGCAGCACTGCAGGGAGTTGAAGCCAGCAGGATTTAGACCCTTAATTCCCCAAGCTGCATGAAGCAGACAGGCCTGGTATTGCACCTCTGGCCAGGAAAAGGGCTGCCGGGCACCGGGTGGGCTGCTGGGAGGCAGCAGCTCCAGAAGAGTCTTCACACTCCTGGTCACATCTCTGCCACACCAGGTAGGTGCTGTTTTATATCTGTACGTCCAGGATTTAATGCACTGTTTACAAATTCAGTGAAGGTTGATGTGAACTATCTTCACCCTCTCCCGGTCCCGTTTACCTTTCCGTTCAGCGTGGTCGCGTTGGCGTCGCTCCTCTGCTCGTGCATGGGGGCGATCAGGGTCCACTGGTTGGTGTCCGGGTCGTAGCGCTCCGCCGTGTTGAGCCGTATGTACCCGTCAAACCCTCCCATGGCGTAGATGAAGTTGTCCACCACGGTGACGCTGACGTAGCAGCGCCGCGAGTGCATGGGTGCCACCTGCTGCCACGTCTTCTGGAGCGGGTCGAACCGCTTGACGATGTTGAAGTAGTCTGTGCCGTCGAACCCGCCGATGACGTAGACGTGGCCTTTCAAATACGCCGAGCCGTGGTAGGCGACGGGGCTCTCTTGCTCCCAGGGGATGTTCAGCCACTTGTCGGTGCGGCCGTCGTAGGTCTCGATGGCGCTGGTGGCGCCGCCCCCGCTCCAGCCCCCGATGGCGAAGAGGATGGCGTAGGGCAGGCGCGGCCGGGTGAGTGGGTTGGCGTTGGCCGAGGAGCTCTGGCCGTACGAGTTCAGGTCGTAGATTTCCGACAGGGCACTGATGATGAGGTCTTTGCACTCGGCGTTGTCCTTCACGTACTCGTGAGCTTTGACGTTGTTCATGAAGTAGTCGGACTGTAGGAGTGCCAGTCGAACCTGGAACATGCAAGGAGGAGGTTAGAACGCTAACGCTGGTGTTTTCCCCCTTGGCAGCCTTTGGGGACAGCTCCAAAGCTGTGCTGCACCCACCTTGCCCAGCAAGCAGGCGATGTACTGCCTCCTGCTCTGCGGATCGTGAGCGATCCACCTCAGCACAGCCTCGAACACGGCTTCTTCTCGCTTCACGTTGAGCTCGTCCTTCTCGATGATGTGTGCCAGCTCCTCAGCAGAGAGGTCTAGGAACTCCTCAGACACCTGGGACACCTCCTCGAAGTGATGCAGGATGTACACGCAGGCGGCTGCGCGCAGGTCGGGGCAGTGGTAATAGTCGGTGAGTCTGCAGATGCCAATGCAGTTCTCAAAGCACAGCCTGGAACTGAGGAACTCGCAGCACAGGTTGACGATGCCCATGACGTTGAACTGGTCTGCTGCAGCCAGCAAACTCTCAACATTGTCCTCCGTGATCGGTACTGTCCCGGTGTAGGCGTAATTGATGATGAGACCCATCATTTCAGCTGAAACACCAGGGATTTGATAGACCATCTTGTCTGCGCTGTCCCAGTTGGTAAACAGAGTCCTGAAAACACGGCATTGCTGCATTAAATCCTGTCCCTGGGTCCCCTGTGTTTCCTGAACTCCCAGGGCACCAGTTTAGGCACTGGCAGGAGCCCTGCTGGGAGGCCCAGTGCTTTATTAATTAATGTTTTACTTGCTGGTTGTTTGAAAAAGGAGATACAGCCCTCTGGCTGGGGACAGGGAGCACCAGGGCGAGCTGCCCCCATGCTTCCACAGGAATCATAAAATCACAAAATGGCCTGGGTTGGAGGGGACCTTAAAGATTATCCTGTTCCAACCCCTTGCCATGGGTAGGGACACCTTCCACTAGCCCAGGTTGCTCCAAGCCCCATCCAACCTGGCCTTGGACACTTCCAGGGATGGGGCAGCCACAGCTTCTCTGGGCAACCTGTGCCAGGGCCTCACCACCCTCACAGGGAGGAATTTTTTCCAAATACCTGATATAAACCTCTGTCAGTGTGAGGCCATTACCCCTTGTCCTGTCACTCCAGGCCCTTGTAAATAAATCCTTGTGTTTCCAGTACTACCTGAAGTAGACACTGCAACAAGAGAGGATGAGCTTGTGAGCCTTGAATTCCACCCCATCCACGCTTATGATCACATCACAGAATCTCCCTTCCAGGCGGAGCTCGTTGGAGATGCTGCAATTCCTTTCGCTCATCTTCCTCTCCATGTTGGAGGATGACTGTCTGGTGGGTGCTGAGCTATCCCCCACGTTGGAGTCAGAGGCAGTGGACCTCGCTGACGCGCGTGGAGCACTCTGGTGTTGCCCGCAAACATCCAGCGCTGAAGCCACTCACTGGCTCTGGATTGTGCCCCGTGATGATGTCACAACCACAGGGGTGACCCAGGCCTAACATTCCCTGGTTGCCCCCAGCCTTCATTTCCCCTCAGCCCAGGTTATTCGGGACCCCTTGGTCTGCACCATGTTGATGGTTGCTCAGAGCAAAACCGTCTGCGTGATCCCCCCGCATAATAATAATAAATAATAATAAATAATAATAAATATTATTTTCCCAGAGTGTTAAAGTTCCCAAAGGTGGGTCACCGACTGCTGCTGAAGTGCCTTGTGCCACCTCACCCCGGAGGAAGCTCCTGTCAGTGCTGAAGTCACACACACACACTGTCCCTGACTTGTCACTCAAGTTGTGCCAGGGGAGGTTTAGGTTGGATATTGGGAAACTTTTTTCCCCAAAAGGGCTGTCCACCCCTGGCACAGCTGCCCAGGGCAGAAGTGGTGGCATCCTCATCCCTGTAGGGTTTTAAAGCCGTGTGGCTCTTGGGGACACGGCTTAGTGGTGGCTTTGGCAGTCCTGGGGGACGGTTCTCTGCGGGAATTTCCCGCACAGGGTTCCGCGACTCCGTATCCCCGGCTGCGGGCACGAACGGCCACGCCGGAGGCTTTTTTATTGGAATGTTTCCTTTCTGTTTCGCCTCCCCCGCTGGTTGCTGCAGAAACGAAACCGCCGGTCCCGCCCCGCGCTGCTGCGGGCGTCGGGCGGGGGCGCAGCCGGAGCGCTGGGGTCCCCCCCGGCCCAGAGCATCCCCGAGCACCTCCCGAGCACCTCCCGATCCCGAACACCCCCCGAGCCCCAACATCCCGCAAACATCCCCCAATCCCGAGCACCGCCGGCCCCCCCCGGCCCCGCGGCCGCGTTCCGGTCCCGCCCCCCCGGCCCCTCCCAGCGGCTGCGCGGCCCGGCCCGGCCCGGCGGCGGCGGAGCGGGAGCCGGAGCGATGGTGAGCGGGCACCGCGGCCCCGGAGCCCGGGCTGGGGCAGCGGCGGCCCCGGGGCTGGGCGGGGGGAAGGTCTCGGTGCCCCCAGGGCGGGCACCGAGCTGGGTCTCTGCTCCGCCCGCAGGTGCCCGAGCTGGAGAAAGCCACGGTCCGGATCCGGCAGCCCGAGCGTGTGCGGGGATCATCCGGTCCCTCCGGGAGCAAGGGGTGGACAAGCTGCAGGTACCGGCCCCGGCGGGGTGGGAGGTGCATCACTTATGCTCAGTCCATGTCTCAGCTGCCCCTTCCTCACCCTCCCACCCCCGGCTGCTCCCAGCCCCGCCAGGAAGCACCTGCGGTGTGCAGGTGGAGGGGGAGAAGCCCCGGAGGAGAGGGAGGACGGGGCTGGTGGCTGTCCCTGGACTATTGTTTTGGCTCCCCGTTATGAAGCTATAACCGTGCGCCAGTCCCCGAACCCCTCCTCCGCCCAGGCGGGAGGGAGCCATTCGCTGCTGATAATAGCTCCGGGGTGGGAGGGTGAGGACACTGTCTGCCCTTGTCGCTGCCAGTGTGCGCCCTGGCTGGGGCAGAGTGCGCTGGGGCACACACAGGTGTGGTTCCCTCCCCTCTTCCAGGTCGTTTCTGACTTTGACATGACGCTGAGCAGGTTTGGGTGCAACGGCAGGCGCTGCCCCACATCGTACAGTGAGTGGAAGCTGCTGTTTTTACTGTCACTAATCCTGTTTGGTTTCTGCGTTTGTGTTTTCCATCACTGTGGTTCCTGTCATCCTCTGTCCCCTCCTTTGCCAGACCTGACCTCTCCGTCCTGTCCTCCCTCATGCATCTCTGGGCCTCGCTGCCTGGCACCTGTTGGGACTCCTCGTTTTGGGAGGAGCCGGCACTGAGATGCAGGAGAGCTGTTGTTAGAAAGTCTTTTAATATCTCTGTGCCACTGTCGTTTTATTGTCCTTGCAGATATCCTCGATACCAGCCGTGTTGTCAGCGAGGACGGCAGGAAGAAGGTGGGTGCTGTGCGTAGGACACACTGTCACCTGTCTTTGAGAGGTCACACTGGCAGGCGTGGCAGCTCTCCTGGCTGTGCTGGCTGCCAGGCTGGAGGGGGAAGTGCCCAGGCTGAATTTCAGCCAGCAGAGACTGAGGAGAAGTTTAAAAGGGAAATTGAATTTGCATGTACAGCTGTGGGTGTTTCAACTCCATAAGAGGAGGAAGGAGGGTGTCTGGACCTGCAGTGTCTGGAGCGAGGTGAGGGTCAGCCAAGACCTCTAGGTGTGTTCAGAGGGAGGCTGCTCAGTGACACAGTTTGGTTGTGTTTAGGAAGTGTGATGCTTTGGAGGACTTCAGAAATGCTGGTTTTGTTGTTTACAGTCTGTTTAGACCTGATGTTCACTCTGTTCTTGTTTTCCCTCTGTATAACGCTCCAGCTGAAGGATCTGCTGCACTATTACTATCCCATTGAAATTGATCCCAACCGGACCCAGGAAGAGAAATGTCCCCTCATGATAGAGTGGTGAGTGCTGTGTGTGATGATCTTGACCTTGTCCTGACAGCCTCTCGTCCCCAAGGGCTGCAGGACACAAGGCTTGAGCTGTCCCAGGGCTTTTTGGCCATCCCAGGGGATTTAGTTGCATTTCTGACTGCCAAGGCCCTCTGCCCCAGAGCTCACTGCTGCCTTTCCCCAGGTGGACCAGGGCCCACGAGCTGCTGGTGGAGCAGAAGATCCGCAAAGATGACATAGCCCAGATCGTCAGGGAGTCGGAAGCGATGCTGAGGTACGGACGTCAGCCCTTCCCTCCTGCCTGTGTAGCCAGGTCTCTCTGCTGTCACCACACTCTGTGCTGCCTCCCTCTCTCCCTCCCTGGGGCTGAGCTCTAACCAAGTCAGAACCATGAGCTGCAGCCTGAGCTCACTCCCTGGCTGCAGGTTGCTCCCTTCCTGCTCAGAAACTGCTTCCCCCTCCCTTGAGCCTTGGTGAGGAGCAGCCAGGGGGCCGGCACTGGGCACGGCTCTCCATGTGCAGGGCGGGATGCGGGGGCAGCTCCTCGCTTTCAGCGGAGATTTGTTCTCTGCACTGGAACAGCTGGGCCTTATCCAGGCCCTTGGCTCACCAGCGCATTTCACCCACACAGCACAAAAACTTCGCGCTAGAATTTGCTGCTGTGGCCCTAAGGCTGGCTCAGGGAGCTGGGCTTTGACTGGGCTCCCAGGCTCAGGGAGGAGATGGCACGGTGTGTCTGGGTTTTCATGAGCCCGGGTTCCCCTTCTGCGTGGAATCGTGTGCTGGCAGACTGAGGCTGTCACAGGTTGGCCTGATCGCCCTCCCAACCAGTCTGACCTGTTGCACATCTCCCACGTGGTTCCTGGCAGTGCCCTGTGCCCCCGCTGAGCTGGGAGTGTGATCAGGAGGTACCGGGCAAAGGGCTGGAGTGCTCCATGTTTCCATGAGCACCTGCCTGACCATTGTGCCCAGAGCCCTCTGGGGTTCTGCACAGGGAAAGCCACAGGAGTGCTGGTGCCACGGAGAGCTCGTGCTGTTTGCAGAGCTCACCTGTGTGTTCCTGTTTGGGAAGTGCTGGGCTGAAACGGGAGCTGGGCTGAGCGCGCTGCCAGCCTGGAACACCGGGCACCGTGCTGGGAGCTGGTAACACAACCCCATTGCAATGGACACTCCCGCTCTAGGGACGGCTTCAAGGAATTCTTTGACCGGCTGCACAAGAACAATGTCCCCCTGTTCATCTTCTCTGCTGGCGTCGGCGACGTCCTCGAGGAGATTATCCGCCAGGCCAGCGTCTTCTACTCCAACGTCAACGTGGTGTCCAACTACATGGAATTTGATGATGATGTGAGTTTCTGCACCACGTTGGTGTGGTGAGGGGAGAGGTGTGGGCTGGGACACAATTAACAGCGCTGCTGGCAGGTTAAGAGCTGTCTGTCTGTCTGTCCTGTGTGCTCAGGGAGTCCTCACGCACTTCAAGGGACCCCTCATCCACACCTACAACAAGAACAACACCGTGCTGCAGGGCACGGAGTACTTCCAGCAGCTGAGCACGAGGCCGAACATCATCCTGCTCGGGGACTCCATGGGTGACCTGACGATGGCAGACGGCATTCCCAGAGTGGAGAACATCCTCAAGATTGGCTTTCTCAATGACAAGGTGGGTGTGAGGAGCAGCGTTGTGTTTCCCTGCCGGCCTTCCCCCGGTGCCAAGCTTTGGGGCAGCAGGGAGGGGCAGTGATGTGGAGGGGGGGAGTACTGAGCTCCTGCTGCTCCTGGGGCATTGTCAGCGTGGTTATTGATCCCCTTTCCAGTACAGAGGGCTGTGGGTGCGCTATCTCCACCCTCAGCTGTTGGTGTTCACAGTCTTCTCCCCCTCCCCACCCTGTCCTGTGCTGTAGGTGGAGGAGAGGAGGGGGAAGTACCTGGAAGCCTATGACATCGTGCTGGAGAGCGACGAGACGCTGGACGTGGCCAACGGGATTCTCCGGTACATCCTTACTGAGATGTGAGCTGGGAAGAGGTGTCCCAGCTCCGGCCCCGCAGCAGGCACTGGGCAGGGAACATCCTCCCTGGGACAGAGCTGGAGGGATCTGCTGGTACTGGCTGGGCTCTGTCCTGACCTCTCTAATGCCCTCGGCCCTGGAGCGGGAGAGATGAGATGGAGGAATCTTCTCCATTCCCTTTACCCCAACTGCCTGGCTCTGCTGCATCCCTCTTGGACTGACTTCATCCCAATTGGACTTCATTCTACTAGGAATTCATACTCTCTACCTCCCAAGGCCACAACAAACCGTGTTGCAGGAAGAGACGTTCTGCACCTGCTTCAGCAGCTGAGTGTGGAGTGGAGATGGTTTGCTGTGGGCTGAGGACAGACCCGGCTTAGATGAAGTTTTAGAGTCACTGTGTTCCTCACTAGGAAAACAAATCTCTCTCCTGCCCTGTTTTCCTGTTTCTGAGCCCCAGTGACTCCACTGGGCTGGTGTGGCCCTGCCAGGCATCACATTGCCCAGCCCCACATCCCCCATGGAATCCTGCAGCTCCCCGGCCCTGGGTCCCACCCCATCCCTCTTGCACCGGTACAACTCTTACTGTGGACAAAAAGCTTCTCAAGCTGTCCCTGAAGGCCCCAGGACTCGGCTGCTGCTGCTGCCCAAACCCAGAAGTAAGTGTGTCTGCCAGGGATGGGATTGGGGTTTGGGTAGGGTGGGAGAGGAGAGGCCAGCGGCAGCATTTTGGGTTTTAAGGAACGTTTTAGCTGTCTGTGTTTCTGTCCTGAACTTCTGGGCTGATCCTAGACTGATCCTGGGCTCTCAGAGCAGCAACAGGAAAAACCCTTGTTGTTTCTGCCTCCCCTCTGGTTGTGTGGGACTTTGGGAAGTGCCCACTCTGTTCTCCAAGTTGGAATAAAGATGTTATTGGCTAAAGCTGGGCCACAGGTGGTTTGTACCTGGCACCAAGGGGCTGGAGCTGCTCTGCTCCCCAGCTCCAGGTCCCTCCATCCCACCAGAGCCCCCCAGCACTCCCTGGGCACTGGAGCTGAAGCTCCACTAGCTTTTTCTGGAGAGGATTTTGGTTTCTCCTGCTGGACCCAGCAGGTGCTGGAGCCTGGAATCCCCCCTGGGCACTGCCAAGGCTGGTCCCTGCACCGCTGCCCCAGCATGCAGGAATGTTTCATGGCAAAGTAACCCGACACAGGCAGACTCCTTGGGAACCAGGAGGAATTATTTATTTGGTGGAAGGTAGATTCACCGTTTGAGGGGGTTGCTCTGCCCCCTGCACTGCTGGGTTCCTGCATTTCTTCTGTCCCTGTCTGCAGGACAGACTGTGAAGAGGTTTTGAGAGCCCTGCTGGTCCCAGATGGAGAACCTGAGCACCCCGAGGTCATGACCTGCATTTAGGCATTGAAACAAAATTGGGCTGATTTGTCTCAGTCACTGAGAACTGAGGGGTGGGGAGGATGTGGAGGAGGATGCTGCTGCTCCCTGAGGGCCTGAAGGAAGAGGGGATCTGTTTCCCTTCTCCCAGCTCGTGAGGGGTTTGCCAGGTCTCATCCCTGCAGTTTGGGGGGGGCCCAGACTTTTGGAATGGCAGATGCCTGTGGGGTATTGGGGTTTCACCCTGGGAACCTGAGCCCCCTCCAGCTTCTTGTCCCAGGGAGGAGGCAGCGAGGACAGAGCAGGGACTGGGACAAAAGTCTTCTCTAATTCTTCTCTCTACAGAATTTAAAGTGTGTGTATTGAAAAGCCCCACCCCCAAACCCTAAACTACGAAATGCTGGGGTGGAGGTGAGGGGAAGCCCCCCCACATCCCTCTTGCCCCCCAAGGCAGCGCAGGTGGGCAGGGGGGCTGGAGTGGGACCTGCAGTCACTGGCAGAGGATGAAGGGGTTCGGGGAGGGGACACCTTCTTGCCTGGGTTTATTAGCTGGGGGTTAAGTTTTCCTGCCCAGGAGGAACACATCAAAATACCCTCCCTTAAATAGAAAGGGGGAAAATCAAAATCTGCCCCTCCTGCAGGGCTGGGGAGGGGCAGGGACAGATTCCCGGGGCAGCCAGGATGGGAGACCAGCCATGGCATGGCCAGGATGAGTCCTGTCTCCAGGAACAGCATGGTCTGCTCCTCAGAGCTCCTCGTGAATCTTCTCCTGGTCCTCGTCCGACTTCAGCTTCAGCTCCTCGGGCGTGATCTTCCCGTCCTGGTTGCGGTCCTGGTTCTGGAACATGTCTGCGATGACTTTCTCGGGGTCAGAGCTGGGCATGAGGCGGCCTTTGCCCTCCGCCACCTGGGTCTTGATGAAGGTGGAGAACTGGAGAAGGGAGAGGGGAGAGAAGCTGCTTGGCTCCGCACAGCTGGCACCAGGCAGGGCAGGGAGACCACAGCCCGTGCCAAGGACAGCAGGGACCAGAGCACCAGCCTGGGGTCCCTCGGCACCCTGGGCCCGCTCACCTCGTCAGCAGGGATCCCCCCATCCTTGTTGAGGTCCATCTGCTCGTAGAGGTTGGCCGGTGGCTCCCCGTGCCAGATGAAGAGGTAACCCTCGGGAACCCCCTCCTCCATGGAGATCAGCTCCACCTCGAAGCGCAGCACGGCGCTGCCGGGCACCCCCCGCGCTGGAAACACAGCGAGGGCTCCAGGACACCGCGGGGAGCACGGCAAAGCCCCAGCCCCAGCAGGGTGAGGAGGGACAGGGCCCTGAGGGGGCTCAGCAAGGCTGAACCCCCCCAGTTTGTGTGGCCCTCATCGGTCGCCACTCCCCTACCTCCGCTCTCCCCGTGGCCCAGGTGGGGGGGGATGATCAGCACCCGCCTCTCCCCCACACACATGTCCAGGAGGCCACTGTTCAGCCCCTCGATCACTTTGTTGGCCCCCAGGGTTACTTCCTGGGGTTTCTCGTAGTCGTGGCTGCAGGAGGCACAGAGAAGACAGCGCAGGTGAGAAAGCCCCTTGGGTCCAGTAGGGAACCCCGAAATCCCAACCCCTCCGTCCCGCTGTGCCCCAGAATCCCACATCCTCCATCCTGGCATGCCATGGCATTCCCTACTCTCCATGTCACCCCCACGTCCACCCCACTGTGCCCCCAAACCTTGCACCCTCCTCCCTGTCGCCCCACCCCGCTGCCCCATGGCCGATGCTCCGGTGCTGCCCGGTGCCCGCCTACCCCCAGCTCAGCGCCAGCCAGGACTAGAGCCCTGGGAAGGACAGGCGAGCTCGGGGCACGCACGAGGAGAAGAGCTGGGTGCCGTCCAGCAGGGAGCAGTTGTAGTGGTAGCGCACGAAGTCCCGGTCGCGGGTGGTGACGTTGCAGCCCTCGGGCCGGAACACGGTCTCGATCTCCACGGGGTCTGCAGGGTTGTGGAAGTCCACGACGTGGACATCAAAGATGAGCACGGCTGAGCCGGGAATTTTGTCCCCTGGAAGAGGAGGATGAGGAGAGCTGCTGAGAGAGCTGCTGAGAGAGCTGCAAGCCTGGGAAAGTCTGTCCCTGCTTCTTCCCGTGTCCTGGGATGTGCCTGTCCCTCGGAGCCTAGGGCTCTGCACATTTACCTGCACCGTTCTCCCCGTAGGCCAGGTGTGGGGGGACGACCACCCTCCGCTGCTCTCCCACGCAGACCCCCTGCAGGCCCTGATCCATGCCGGGGATGATGTAGCCCTTCCCGATGTAGGTGTTGTAGGTTTGATTGCGGGAGTAGCTGCAGCAAGAGAAGCCCCCGGTGCCATCAGACCCCCCCTCAACCCCTGCACCCCAACCCACACCCCTTCTCCCAGCCTTCTTCCTAGGGATGCAGCAAACAGGTGTTACCCTTTTTAGCCTATTTCTCGCCTCCCTCTCCTCCCCGCCAGTTCTCCAGGCTCTCCTTGCGGCCGTGGGGCAGGAGGGGACATCGGGGGCTCTCCCCACACCTGGAGTCGAAGAGCGTCCCGTCCATGAGCGTCCCGTTGTAGTGGTACCGCACGAAGTCCCCGGTCACAGCCCGGCGCTTGCAGGGCTCCGGCACCTCCAGGTGCTCCAGGAAGACGCCGTCCTTGGGGTTGTGGAAGTCCACCAGCAGCACGCTGAACACCAGCGATGCCTGCGGTGGGATCACGGTCCCTGGGGAGGGGACAGGGCTCAGCCCAGGTGAGGGGAGAGTCCTGCTGCACCACAGGGCCTCTGGGCAGGGCTGGGAGGGAAGGGGCCGGTGTGATGGGGTGGGGCCTTGCTTACCATAGCCCTTCTCCCCATAGGCCAGGAACGGGGGGATGATGATGCTCCTCTTCTCCCCAGCGCACATGCCCAGCAGCCCCTGGTCCATGCCCTTGATCAACCACCCAGTGCCCACGTAGGTGTCGTAGGTGCTGCCCTTGCTATAGCTGGTGGGGGAAAATGAGGGTGGGGACGGCTCCAGGGCCACACCAGCACCCCAAGCTGGAGTGGTGCCATGCCAGAGGCTGGTTTGGGGGCCATGGAGCTGCACCAGCAGAGCAGGGAGTGCCCTGAGGCCAGGGGCATCACAGTGCCCCATACCTGGAGTCGAAGGGGGTCCCGTCCAGCAGGGTGCCGTTGTAGTGGTACCGCACGAAGTCCGAGTTCTCCACCGTGCGGTTGCAGCGCTCGGGTTTGGACACGGTGGTGACCTGCAGCTTGTCGTTCTTGTTCCAGATGTCCAGCATGACCACGTCAAAGTACAGGGTGGCGTCTGGGGGGATCAGCCCCGCTACAGAGGCGGCAGCAAGGACAGAGCACTTCAGGTGAGACCAGCACCAAGCCCAGGCTCTGTCCCTTGAAGCCCTCCCGAGCCCAGGGGAGGCTCAGGGCTGCTGGAGACCCGTGCCAGCCCCTGAGAAAGCAGCAGAGCCCAGGCTGGGGGCAGGACCCCTCATTCCCAGGGAAGCACCACTTGCCCTGGCCATGCTGACACCAGCCCCGGGGGGGTTGCCCCCTCCATCCCCCCGTGCCGTGGCCCCTTACCCACGCCGATGCTGCCGTAGCCCAGGTGGGGCGGCACGATGAGGTGACGCCGCTCGTTCACGCACATGCCCTGCAGCCCCCGGTCCATGCCCGTGATCAGCCGCCCGACGCCCACCACGCCGGCCACTGTGGCCCCTCGGTCATAGCTGGGGCGAAGGGACAGGTCCATCAGAGGTGCAAAAAAGGATGAAGCTCCCACAGCTGGGGGACAGGGCTGCCGCCTCCCCGAGGTGCAGGTAGCCCACCACAGCCCCTGAGTCCCTGTGCTGCAGGCAGAGCCCAGAGCTCAAAAACCACAGATCCTGACGGGCTCAGTCCTGCACTGTTGGGGGCAGCTGCCACCTGCAGCACTGCTCAGGGCTCCAGCCTGACCCTGCACCCCCAGAACCCACCAACCGCCTCCCCAGGTCTCACCCACAGAGCTGGGCTGGAGGCCGGCAGCTCCCAGGCTTCCTGCTGCTTCCAAGTCCTTTTGCATAGGGCACATTGGAGCTTTGTGCAGCAAGGAGGAAAGACAACGTGCCGGCCTCATTTTAAACTGCAAATTTGTTTTTATTTTTAGACCTTGGAAAACTCCAAAAAGTAACCGGGGGCATCTCAGATAAATCGAAGTCCTTCATCCCCTCGCTTCTGTGTCCCCGGTTCTCCCCCTGCTCACTGTGCTGCAAACCAGGGGCTGCCCCAAGCTCAGTTCCCAGCCAGGGTGGGCAGAGCAGGAGCGATGCAGGGCCGAGGGACACTGAGTGGAGCGAGGCCTCTGGGGTAATGAAGGGTTTCGCCGCTGCCACGTCTCAAAGTGCTCTAAGCGTTTTCCTGCCTGTGCAGCACAAGCAGACACATGTTCTTGAGTGCAGAATGCCCCACTTGGGGCCAAATCCTGCCGGTACCTGGGACAGGCTCCCCCAGGGCACTGTGGAGCTGAGGGTGTGCAGGGCTCCCCGAGGGGCTGGGGGGAGCTGGGGGACCCGGCAGGGCAGCCCAGGCAGGGGCTGGGGAAGGGGCTGCAGCCTGGTTTGGGGGTTTGCTTGAGGCCAGGCCAGGCCCCCCCAGGCTGACACGTGTACAGGGCTGCCCGGGTCCGTGTGCTCGCCCCAGCACCCACCAAAAGCCCTTCTTGGGGTCAAAGCTGTGGGACTGGACGCTGTCTGGAGCGGGCATCTGCCTGCCCTGGCCTGGCTGCCCCTGCCCCTGGGCTGGGGGACTCATGCGGGGTCCCCGCAGCTGCCTGCCCGCCCCGGGATGCGGGCTGGGGGCTGGGGGAGACATGCAGGGTCCCGCCGCAGCTGCCCCCCGCATGCAGCCGGCACAGAGCCGCGGGCGATACCTGGAGTCAAACTTTTTGCCATCTTTAAAGGTCCCATTGTAGTGGTAGCGAACGAAATCCCCCATCTGCGCCTCCCGCAGGCAGATTTTGGGGATGTAGTATCTGTCTATCACCACGTCTTCCAGGGGGCCGGGGTTGCCCAGCGCCGGGGCCCCCAGGATGCCCAGGAGGAGGAGGAGGAGGAGGAGGAGGCAGCGGCTGCCCGGGGCCATGGCCATGGTGCTGGGGCTGCGGCGGCGGAAGGGCCCGGCGGGGGGAAGGCGGAGAAGGGGGGTCCGGGACGCCCCTTCCCTTCGCTTTCCCTCCCTTCCCTTCCCCTGCGCCCGCCCAGCCCGGCCCTCTTGGAATTTCTGTAGACGTGTCCGGGCCCCGCCGCGCTCCCCCCGCAGAGCCGGGAACAGACACGGCGGCAGAGAACGATCCACGGCGGGAGGGGTTATTTTGGTCCCCTCTTTTGTTTTTCCTCTTATTTTTTTTCTGTGTTTGTTTATTTTGTTGTGTTTCTCCCCCCCCTCCTATTTTTACCCTTTTCTTCTCTCTTTTTAACTTTCTCTCTTTTCTTTTTTTTTTTCTTCCTGGGCAGTTCCTCCTCCCAAGGAAAAGCTGACTGAGCCTTTGGGGGAGCGTCTGTGCGGCTGCAGGCCCGGCCCCAATTCCAAGTGCTGCCGGGCCTCCTTCTCTTCCTCCTCCTCCTCTTCTTCCTCTTCCTTCTCCTGCCACCGCCAGGTCATCACACCCAGCCCAGGATGCTGCTGCTCAGTCCCAGCAGTTTGGGAGAGTAAATGGAAGGAATTAAGTGCTTTAATAACGTGCCTGCTGCTGGCAGAGCCTTTACTGAACGGCAGTAATTAAAAATGGGAAACTCTCCTTCTAACAATCCTTACCAGGCAAGGGCAGCCTCAAACACACACAGAGGTGTTGCCCACACACCCCTGCTCCCCCAAAACCATCGGCAAGAGCCCTCAGCAAGTGCCAGGTGGGAAATGCAACAGGCTGTGAGCCCAAACCCAAATCCTCTGAGGCTCAGCACTACCGATGAAAGCAAAAGCCCCAGCAAAGCAGCTTTGGCTCCCTCACCCTGGTCCTGGGGTGCTCTGAGCCCCCCAACACACCACACCGGGGCTGAGCAACCTCAGCACTGCTTGGAGCAGCTCAGGAGGACTCAGGGCTCTCCCCATGGCCTGCCAGGGGCAGGGCCTGGCTCTGACAGTGAGTGCTGGCAGGGATGGTGGCACCCCAGCCACGTGCGGTGCTGGGCACTGCCAACGGCCTCTGCTCCACGGGAGAAACCTCAGCAGCGTCCTGGCTCCTGCCCCGCGCTGTGACATCCCTCAGCACCACTGTCCAGCCGGCGACAAAGCACTGGGCTTGGGCCGGGGCCAGTGTGGCCATGCCGAGGCCTGGCGTGGGACAGCCCCGGGGCCAGGATCTGGCACAGCGCAGGGCGTGTGGCCTCGGGCTTGGCATCGGCCGGCAGCGCGGCCACCTCCGGGCACCGCGGGCCTGGCGGGGGTCCCGCGCAGCTCATCTCGCTCCGTGGTGCTCAGGGCTGGTCATCCCCATCCCCAGCGCTGCGCGCATCCCCTGCGCGCCCCGCGCAGCCTCTACACACACCCCCCCGTGCCGCCGGCGGAGCCGCACTAAGACCCTGCGCGCCCGCCACGCACCGCCCGCCCCCTGCGCGGGGCCCGGCGTGCAGCGCTGCGCGGGGCGGTGCGCGGACGCTGCGCGGGCAGCGAGCGGCGGCGGCGGGGATGGGCGGCGCGGTGCCGGTGCCAGGTCCGGTGCGGGCGCTGCTGCTGCCGGTGCTGGCGGCGGGGCTGTGCGCGGCGCAGTACGAGCAGTACAGCGTGCGCGGGTTCCCCGCGGCCGCGCTGGAGCCGCTGCAAGGCGCCTACGCGCGGGCGCTGGCTCAGTACGCGGACGCGCAGTGGGCGGAGAGCGCGCAGGGGCTGGAGGCGAGCCTGCGGCTGCACCGGCTGCTGCGGGACAGCGAGGCGCATTGCCACCGCCGCTGCGCCGGGGAGCCCCCCGCGGGGTGGGGGGACCCCGCCGAGGAGCCCCGCGCGGAGCGGGACCCCGCGTGGGAGTGGGAGCGGGAGATGCGGCTCTTCGGGCGGCTGCTGCTCCGCGCCGGCTGCCTGCGCGCCTGCAAGCGAGAGCTGCCCGTGTTCCAGCTGCGCTACCCCCCCGCGCAGACCCTGCGCGACTTCCAGCGCCGCCAGCCCTACCAGTACCTGCACTACGCGCTCTTCAAGGTGAGGTGGCGCAAGTGGCGGGGGGCGAGGGTGGTGGTGGGGGGGGGTTCCTGTGCCTCTATCCTGCCCCACTCTGATCTAGCCCCTCCATCCTTCCCTCTCTTCTCTGCCTCCGGCTGGGCACACCCCTTCCCGTGTCACCCCTTCCCGTGTTTTAACCTGCACCCCTCATCCTATACCTCCTCTTCTACACCCACATCCTGCATCCCCCCATCCCGTGCCCCCATCCTGCACCATGAGCCTGCACGCCCTGATCTGCACGCCCTGCACCCCTCTCCCCCTCATCCTGCGCCCCCTGAACCCTGCTCCCCCCTATCCTGCACCCTGCTCTCAGGTGCTTTCCCATCCTGCACCCTCCTTCCTTCACTCCCCATCTGGCATCCCACCCTCCCCCAGCTACTCCATCCTGCTCCTGCACCGTGGCACGTCAGCATCATCTGGGACGCATCAGGCAGGACGTGAGGGGTGCACCCGGGATTGGGGGCCCCTGTGGTTGTGTCCCCCCGCCCCACCTTGTGTTGCACTGGTCCCCCAAGGTCCCCCTGGCCAGGCAGAGCATTGCCTGGGGAGGGGGACACAGAGGCTGCCCCCTTTGAGGAGCCCAAGCTGGCAGACCAGTGCCACTGTGACTGTGGTGGGACACGTGTCTGGATGCTCCCTCAGGGAGAAGGACTTGCTTGGCCCCACAGTGCAGACGTGGAGGGAGGTTACGTGGAGGGAGGTTTTGTGGAGGGAGGTTTTGTAAGGCTTCTCCCCAGGGGTGACTCTGCACTGGCCAGAGTGGCTCTGGCAGGGGGCAGTCCCCTGGTCAGGGTCCCATCCCTGGCCGCCTGCCCCTGAGGGTGCTGTTTTAGTGCTCACCTGGCAGTGCTGAGGGACAGCCTGTCCCAATCCTTAATGCCTTTTCCTCTTGCTGCTCTGGCCCAAACCCACTTCATGGTCAGATCGTTCAACCACCAACCCCCACCGCCCCAACAACTCCCTCCCCTGAAGCTGCAACCTGAGAGCCCACAAAGCAGCAGGGGCTGGCCCTGGCTGGTGGCAGTGCCGGAGAAGAGCGGCTGTGTGGATCAAACCCACACCACGTGGATCCATCCTGCACCACGTGGATCACTCCCAGCTGGATGTGGGGGCCCAGGAGGGGCTGAGCCGTCCCCGTGCCCACCACAGGTCGGTGTGGCTGGAGTGACCTGTGATGTCCATGTTCCCAGATCCTGTCTGTCTGCCACTGCCAGTGGACAATTGGGCTCGGGGCTGGCACCATGGGTGTGAGACTGTCCCTGTGCCCTGCACCCTGTCAGGGTTGCTGAGCCCACCCTGGCCACAGCATCAGCCCTGGCTGCCTTGCAGCAGGTCTGCACCAGCTCTTCCTCCCTCCCTTAGTCAAATAAGATCGAGAAAGCGGTGTCTGCTGCCCACACCTTCCTGCAGAAGAACCCCAAGCACGAGATGACCTTGAGGTACCTGAACTACTACAAGACGATGCTGGATGTGGATGAATACCTGGTTGACCTGGAGGCTCAGCCCTACGAGGTGAGGAGTGGACGGGGCTGGGGCGGGAGAGGGGATCCCCAGGGCTCGGTGCATGCCTGGTCCTGCCAAACCCCGAGGGAAGCGGCTCTCCCTCGCTAAGCGGTGCCCGCTTGGCCGCTGGCAGCCGATATTCGTGCGCTCGGTGAAGCTGTACAACAACGGGGATTTCCGGAGCAGCGCAGCCGACATGGAGCAGGCGCTGGCCGAGTACTACAAGGCGTACGAGGACTGCCTGGCCGGCTGTGAGGGCGCCTACGAGCTGCAGGAGTTCAAGGACTTCTACCCCGCCATCGCAGGTACTGGGGCACGCAGGGGGATGGCAGACCCCAGGGGCAGGGGAGGGGTGGGGGGTTGCTCAGGGGTGCAGCGCCTGACATCTCCCCCCCCCAGACCACTTTGTGAGCGTGCTGCAGTGCAAGGTGGACTGCGAGACCGAGCTCACCCCCAACGTGGGCGGCTACTTCGTGGAGAAGTTTGTGGCCACCATGTACCACTACCTGCAGTTTGCCTACTACAAGTGTGAGTGGGGGGCTGCGCCCGGGACACCCCGGGGTGGGAGCTGGGGGCCCCGGGCAGGGTGTCACCCCCGTGTCACCCCCGTGTCCCCTGCAGTGAACGACGTGCAGGACGCGGTGCGCAGCGTCTCCAGCTACATGCTCTTCGACCCGGGCGACACCGTGATGCAGCAGAACCTGGTCTACTACCGCTTCCACCGCGAGCGCTGGCGCCTGCGGGAGGAGGACTTCGAGCCGCGGCCGGTGAGGACCCCCCAGCCCCCTGTCCCGTGGCTCTGTGCTGGCAGTGGGGGTGCTGACGTAGCCCCTCTCCCCCCGCCGTGCCCAGGAAGCCGTGCGGTACCACAACCAGACGGCCGCCCAGAAGAAGATGTTGGAGTTCGCCCGGCAGTTCCTGCAGGCTGATGACGAGGTACCCGATGGTGGGGTGCGGGCAGATGCTCTCGGGGGTGCTGGGTGGCGTGGGGGGTGTCTGACCCCCCAAATCAGCCCTGGAGCAGAGGTTGCAGATGAACCCCCCTGCCTCCTCCTGCCCTCCCCCATTGCAGATGGAGGTGGATGGTGGTGAAGGACCGGAGGCTCTGGACCTGCCCTCTGACAGCGAGTTCGAGGGCGAAGGAGACTACGAGGAGGGCTTCTTCGCAGAGTGGTGGCAGGAGCCCAAGACCAAAGGGGACAAAGACGACCAAGGTTCCTGACACAAGGGCTGGGGGATATGCTGCAGGGTGGGAGGGCTGCTGCCCATGTCCCAGTGCCACTGAACCCTCCTTGTTTGCAGAGATCCTGTGATGAGCCAGGTGGAAGGGCGCCTGGCCCTGACAGAGCTGGACGGTGGTGGCTCTGTGATGCCATCCAGGGGACACTGGGCTTCAGGCTCCTGCCAGTCACTGCATGGACACTCAGGCTCATGGAGAAGGGCTCATCCTGCCCAGGGTCCTGCAGCAGGGCTGCCTTTGCTGTCTGGATGTCTGCTGCCCTGGTACAGCCCAATTCCTGTCAGTGGAGCAGCCCTGAACCTCCCTGCCTGCCCAGGAGCATCCCCTGGGCCACCCCTGCCCCCGATGTCCCCAGGAGCCCTGGCCAACAGCGGTGCCTCACAGCACAGGGATTTGCTGTATCCCTCAGCTCCTTCCCTGGATGTGTGGATGGTGCATAGGCATTGACCCCTGTGTTGTCTGGAGGGGTTTGGGGGCCGCCCCTTGCTCCGGGAGCAAAGCACGATGCTGCTGGAGCCAGTCCTGCCCCTCCCTGGGGCTCCTGCTCCTGTCCCTCCAGCCTCCCAGGCAATTTGCCAGTCCCCTGAGCCCGGGTCCCTTTGGATCCTGGCCCGGTGCTACAGGGGGCTGCTGGTGTGGCACGTCCGGGTGGCACCATGGGGGCTGTTGGTGCCCGTGCCCTGCTGTGCCTTGAATTTTTCGCCACACCAGCCCTCTGTAGCCTTAAGCTCTGTTAATTTAATATTTTCCCACTTGGACAGTTGCTCCTTTTTTAAATATTTACTGGTGCTGAACTTTTTAATAATAAAATCCGTACCAGTCTTTCCACAGGTGACTCCGCCACAGGCTCCCGGGCTGGGGTGTGCTGCCGGAGGGGGAGGGACAGGCCTGTGTGCCCCAGCGTAGGAGGGGGTTGGCAGGCTGGCATCAGGGTGTTTTGGGGGCCCGTGGGGGGCTGCTGCTGGTTCTGAGAGGCCTGTGCCCGCCCTGGGCAGGAGGCATCGGGCAGCGTGTGGCCGCTCGCTCCTCCCTCCGTGTTCCCGCCGCGCTTGGAAATTGGCTGCGAGGACTGAAACCGAGAGGCTGAATCACGGCGTTGGCCCCGGGGGAGGGAAGGGACGGGAATGGAAGGAAGGTGGTGGCAGGAGGCTGCCAGCACCCCACCCTGCCCTGCCCAGAGCCCCCATTTACCAGGGCTTTCCCAGCTCTGCAGGGCACTGGGCTGAGGTCACGGCTGAGCCCCCAGACCCGCAGGTAGAGTTTGGGGATGGAGCCAGTGCTGAGGGGAGCACCCAGAGCACCCCTGCGCCAGGCAGGGCTGTCCTGTCCCTCGGGAGGATTGGGGTTTGTCACCCACAGGTCACAGCCACCTCGGCCGGGGAGCGCCAGCCTGGCGGGTGCGGCTGGTGGCACCCATGCCTGGATCAGTGGGAAACGCTCATCCCAGGGGACAAAGGCTGGTGGATCTTCCCAACAGCTGGGCGAGGGTGGCACTGAGCCCACGGGGCCTCCGCCCTGCTCTGACGCGCACCTGGGCACTGTGTCCCCTTTGCCAGCCCCAAACTCACGTGGGAGAACACGGTTCCTTGATCCCAGGAGCTGGCACCGGGCAAAGCCCCTTGCAGCCCCAAGCTGGTGTTCCAGGGGGTCCCCTCCCTGCTCCCACCTGCAGCCACTGGATGTGCAGGTGCCAGGTGGGGACCCAGCGCTCCTGGGAATGCTGGGCAGGAGCAGCACTGTGTTCCAGAGGCACAGAGATGGGATGCAGGGACTCGGAGGCGGGATGCAGCAGGATGCAGGGGACAAGGCCACAGGATGCAGTGGGTTACGTGGTGAGGGCAGCACTGCGCTCCCCTGACCCCTCTGATCTTGACCAAGGGGGAGCATAAATGAGATTTTTGGCTGTCATCTCAGCTGTGCTGTGCCCCCACCGTGCTCTGCCCTGCCGTGCTGTGCCGTGCTGTGCCATGTGCCCCTTTTCCTCGTGCCGGGAGGACTCCGCCGTGCTCTGGATTCCCCCCTCAGCGAACAGCGATGAGCTCCCGGTTTCTTGCAGGGGCGTGGGAAGCTGTCTCTCACCTCCCTGCGGAGCGGAGATTCCCCGCCCGGCAGCGCCCGCAGCCAGACGTGGCAGGGGCCGTGCGGGGGTGCAGGATGTGCCCCCTCACCCCCCCACCCGGGGCAGAGCCCTCCTGCTCCCCACACCTGGGGGTCCTGAGGACGCCCCCACCCCGTGGGCCGGGACGCGCCCCGCGGGTGACTCGGGCTCTGGGTGACGGCGGCTTCGCCCGGGCCGCGGCGGCAGCGCCCGGCTGGACCGGTCCGGCGGCCCCGGCGTGACGCAGCACCGGCGGCCCCCAGCCCCTCCCGAGCGCCGTTTCCCGCCGCCCCCGCCCGGGGGTCCCGCCCGTCCCGGGGTCCCCACGGGGGTCCCCGAACCCCCCGGCCCTGCCCAGGTGCGCCCCGGCCACGCCCACTGACGTCACCCAGGTGGTCCCCTCCTGGTCGCGCCCTTCCCCTGGCTCCGCCGCGCCCCGCCCACCCCGCCCCGCTGTCCAATCACCTGCGGGTGCGGGGCGGAGCGGCCGCGCCCCGCCAATGGGCAGCGCATAAACACGTCCGGCGGGGGCGGGGCCTGGCGCGCCGAGGGCTTGACGGGCGTGACGGACAACCAATGGCGGCGCGGCAGAGCGGGGGCGGGGCCTGCGGTGGGGCGGGGCTGCGAGCGGGGCGCTGCTCGCCTTTTGTTCGGGCAGGAGCGGGGAGAGACGGTGAGAGACGGGAACACCGGGAACGGGGAGGGGAGAGACGGTGAGAGATCGGGACAGCGGGAACGGGGAGGGGAGAGACGGGAGCATCGGGGACGGGGGGGAGCCACGGTGAGCGGGGACACCGGGCACGGGGGTACCGGGCGGGGACCGGAGTCGCCGGGCATGGGTAGGGACGGTGAGTGGCACCGGGGCACCGGGCGATGAACGACGGTGAGCGGCGATCGGCCGGCGGGACCGGGCAGGGAGCGCTCCGGTGAGCGGGGCCGGGAACGGGCAGCACCGGGCGCTCCGGTTCGTCCCCCCGCCGCCGCCAGCCGGGGCAGGGCTCCCCGCGTACCGCTCGTGATCGCGGCGGGTCCCGCGCAGGGTCGGGCGGGCGGGTACCCGGGGCTCCTCCCGCGGGCGGCCGCACCACCCCGGCCCCTTCCCAGCGCTGCGGGAGCCAGTTTGGAAGTCGCGACCCCGCGCCCCGGTGAGAGGCGGCTGCTCCGGGCCCATCCCCGGCCCCGCCCGGAGCCGCCGCTGGGCGGGCGAGGCCCTGGCACGGTGCTCTTATGGGGCTCTTACGCAAACTGGGCTGCTCCGTACCCCGAGTCACACCTGGGGACACCGCGTGCTGCTCTCGAGGCCGCACCGGAGCCCCTCGACACCGCCGTGCCCACCCGCGGAGCCGGGGCTGCCCCTCGCCCACGGACGGGCATCTGGGCTCGGGGGGCTGAGGGGCCGAGGGGGATCCGAGTGGCCTGGCATCACCCAGGTGGCCCCCCGCGGGTGAGGAGTGCTGGGCACAACGCGGCGGGGGGGTCCCAGCTGAGCCCCTGACAGCGGATATCCGCACCGGGAAACATGGGGGGAGCGAAACTTGGCTGTCTGTCTGATGTTTGGAGGGGAGAGAGCACTCTAATTGCGTTACCTGAGTGATTAGCTTAATTAATCAGGTTTACAGCGCAGATGAAAGGATAATGCTGAAATGTTGCTGGGAGTTGCCCGGAGAAGGCAAACGTGGGCTGTCATACGAGCAACGCGGAGAGCGAGTGTGAGCGCTCACCGAGGGCACGGCGGCTGCCGGGGATGGCCCGGAGGACCCGTCGTGCCCACAGGGGTATGAAAACATCAGCCTGCACCCGCTCTGGCCAGGCTGCAGGTCCCCTGCACTATTGGGGTGCCTGAGTGAGCCCCGTGTCTGGGGTGATGCTCCCTGTCAGATTCTCCCTACCGGAAGGATGGTGGGGGTTGGGAGCGCCCCGGGACCCAGCTGGGTCTGGCCCCCGCAGTTGCTTCACCTCCTGCTCCAGCCCACGTCGTGCTGGTTTTGGCGCTGGTGCCAGCCCCGACGCCCGTGGGCCTGGTGTCCGTCTGCCGTCGGCTGGCGGGGAGCCGGGGGCGCAGCGACTCCCGCCAGCTGCCGCGGGGACGGGGCTGGAGCAGTGCCGGGGGCTGGAGCGGTGCCGGGAGCGTTCGCTCCGGGCTCTCGCTCAGCCTCATCCAGGGCAGGTGCGGTGCCCGTGGGGGCTGCTCCAGGCCCCACTCTCGGAGTGTCCGGCCCAGCTGGAACCGGGGCTGGGAAGGTTTCAAGGTCCCTTTCTGTGTCCTTGCCGGTTGTCAGAGCTGCTTGGAAAGGTGCAGGGCACCCAGCAGGAACCGTCTTTGTGCATCTGAAGCCTGTGGTTGATCACTGCTTTGGAGGGTTTCCCTGAAGTGTCATGAAAAACCCATTTTGCTGCTAATTTGGCTCGAACAAGTTGGCCATCAGGATGGGGACTGGCGCCCGTGGCTGAGGGTTGTTCTCCCTCCCGGGCTCGGCCGCTGAGCGGGAGCTGGGGCAGACGAGGGTCCCCGGTGCTCAGGGCGCTGGGGGAAGGTGTGGCGGCCGCGCGGGGCCCTCCCTCAGACAATGGCGTTACAGTCTATTGTCTGGGCGATGTGCCGTGTCCTTGCCGGCTCCAGGAAGCGCGTTCGTCCCCGGCGGGGCGAGCCGGACTGCTGAGAGGGGTCTCCTGGGGCTGGGTGTGCGAGTAGTTTGTGCACCGTGCCCGGAGCCCCGACCTCCGCGGCAGCGCGGGCGGCTCATGGCCGGGCCGCAGCCGGGGACCTTGGGGAGTGTCCCCTCTGGTCCCGGTGCCGCATTTCAGTGTATCATTCGCTGTCCTAATCCCATTAACTCTCCCCTTTGTTTCCCCCACCTGAAACCCTTACTCAGCCGGGCGGGCACTGCGGTGCAGCTGCACAGCTCCCTCAGCTCAGCCTGTTCCTGGGAGGACGGTTTCCCTTCGAGGCTGTGGTTTTGGTGTGGGAGCGCTTGATGGGATTTGGCTTTTTATCACACTTCCAGATCTCCGGGATTGAAGACGGCGCTTCTGCCGGGCGCGCTGCCGCTCGCAGATGGCAGAGCCTGGGAGCAGAGCTGCCCTTGGCCCTGCTCCGCAGGCTGGGGGAGCGGAGCCTGTGCTCAGGGAACTTGTACAACTTTAATTGCAGCATCTGTACCGAGGCTTGTGCTGGTCTTGAAGGTTTAAATTAGACTGGCTTCTAATTAGAAGAAGTTACAAAGAAATGTAATGTCTAGTACAGAAGTATAAGCCTACCTTGGACTTCAGCTGGTGTTTCCCCACCTAGACAGAGTGTGTGGGCACCAGCATCACCCAGAGCCGGGTGTGGGTGGTGGCTCTCAGTACCGTGGTGTCCCCCAGGTGGATCTGTGTGGATGGAAGCAGCTCGGGAGGACACCGGGACTGCGTTGGTCCCTTGAATCACGCTCTGTGTTTTGGGAGGGATGGTTTTACCCACCCCTTCCCCATGGACACTGTTTGGTGAAGTGGTGGAGGACAGTGGGGGTGGGAAGGTGCAGGTGCTCCCTCCTAAAAAAAGGCCTAAACACCACGTCTGTGCTTAAACAGGGCTGGCCTTGGAGCCACGCAGGTCCCTCGATGTGCAGAGTTCCTCACCCCCTCCCCTTCCCACCTCTGGCGTGGGAATGCTGCCCGGCTTGTTGATGGCTGGGTTGGGGAGGAGGTGAAGATGTTTCTATTTAGGCAGAGGTTTCAAATACCCTTCTAA